ACCCCGTTCTCCTAAGTGAAACAGTTACTATAAACGGTGATAGTGTTGTTCCAGCGTGTTGCAGGTGGCTCGCGCATTATCAGTGAGACCCCCGGTGCTCCCTAAGCCTACATCAGTTATTATAATCGGTGATACTGGTGTGTCCAGCGTGTGCAGTGAAGTCCCAGCTTTCGATCCAGGGCAGCGCATTAGCCCGCCCTCCGTTACGGGCACCAAGGATGGCGGAAGAGAACTTACATCAACACCAGCGGCCGTGAAATACAGCTGCTAATATTACCAACCGCAACAGAGACACTGCTAACGATCAATACCAGTGCCCAAAATCAACAACTGCACAAGGACCTCCAGAAAGAGCCCAGCTTAAAGTTCACGCTATGAACAATCGACGCAAACTTTACAAATACCGTCAGTTTTCGCAAGCAAGAAGAACAGAAATTGCTACAGGCCGCGTGGTTCCTCGAGAACAGTGGTAATTCCATCGACATCAACAAATCAGGTACACAATGCAATTTCTTACTTTCCTACCTGAATGGCAAGCTTTGTTTTCGCTCACTAAGCGTAAACGACTGACAGCCGGTGGTATAGTAACGCTTAACACAGCAAGCGCGCAATACTACGAGTGAAATAAAAATAAGCGAACAGGTTTGAAGCACTGCAAAGGCATTATAAACAACGCTCCAACAACACGGAAAAGACGCCACAAGGCAACAATATGAATGAAGATACGCTCCAACAAAACCTCCGCCTATTATTTACTTCTAATGTGCTGTTAAAAGTGCCCTCGTTCACAACGAGTCCATTACGTGAATGCCTCGGCAAAATAAGAATTTACAGTATTAAAGATGTACAACAAATGAAGTAAAAGTCAACCGAGAACAATAGAAAGCTACAGAGCAGTTATAAAATTCCTGAATGAAAAAAAAGCAAGTGTACCACACCGTACCAACTAAAAAAAGAAAGAGCATTTCGTGTTTGTCCTTTAGGCACGTAACCCATCTGTTGAAGTAGAGAGTATTCAAAGTGAAACTCGAGGAACCTTTTGGGGTCACAAAAGTCAGGAACATTCGTAACATTTCGCCTACCAGATTGACGAAAAGACCCAACCATGCCTTTTCTACCGTCGACTACGAACACGGCGGAATAACGCGAGTATAATCTTATAAAATTACTACATTAATGCCGTATGCCCAAGTCAGTTCGATACGCCGTATAAAAAGAAAGAAATAGTGCACATGCTATAGATTGCACACAGTACTATGCATAGTCCGTGCGTAACTGCCAACGAAGTCTAGATGTGTGAAATCGGAGAAGCACACCTTATCGAAATGTGGGTAAAAAAGATAAACAAACAAACCAACATGATTGCACTTTGCGCAAAGACACCCAGCAAACTACAAAGGGCTGAGAGCTATACAAAGAACTTATTCAAAATGAACATACCCAACAAGTGATCGAACAAAAAAGAAACTTCGAAGCGAAAAAACACTACGCAAGAAACAGTACAAAAACCAGGCTAGTGGAAGAGGTTTTCCCCCAGGCTTAAAACTCTTACTCAGAATGGCCCGGATCGGATTTCCCAATCTTCCTGTCTCACTGGTAACGCGCGGAGCGGAGCAGCTGGCACGTCCGACCTGCACCGCTGCCGGCTTGGAACTCCGGGAAAGAAGGTGAAACAAAACTGAGAAGGTAGCCCCATTTCGAAAGAAAGGAGAACTAGCTAGTACAAGAAAACCTCTGCTATTTTGTTCCACCACTAGTTTATTTGTGATAAGTTTTACCTAAAATTCGGAAGATGAGTTGGAGACGTTAACATATTTGAGTATTTCAATCAATGTGGGAAGAAATATAAAAGTTGTGTATGGATTACGAAACAATACGAATAAAACAGGCTCAGAAACAAACAAACCAAACGAAAAACTCCCCACAAATTCTTTCTCACGAGTCACAACAAAAAAGTACGCTGCAACGCGTCGGAAAATCTGCACAATCACTTTTAAGACTCCCTGTTAGTGGAAGCAAAATAAAAAATCACTAATAAAAAATTGCAGGCCCCCACATAAGGCACCGAGCACACCCCATCGCATTTGAGCTTCCTGACGCCCTGCAAACCTCGCACACACCGATGCTTTTCATTTCATAACAGCTAGAGTAAATGAACACCACTTTTTCCATAAATTAGAAGATTTATGTCATAAAGTAAGATTTATTTTCTGTTAGAAATATAGTAAAAGGGAAGGAGTGGGAGACCGAACTTCTTCTGTACATGCGTTGACTGATTCTCCGCTAGTGAAATACGAGGAAAGGCGTGTAATGCACCTGGGTATTGGGGTCATCTCTTCGGGAAAAGATAAGTCTGATCGGAAGATAGTACATATAACAAAACTATTCGTTTCAACAAACTTCTCGTGGTATCATCAGTTATTATTTAATTCGCTTCTATTGACTTTTACAAAATTATGATTATGGAAGTTTTTCATTCACAAACCAAAAATTACTTTAAAACATCAATATTAAAAATATCTTCTTTAATCATGTTTAAAACGTAGATATTTCTATAAAAAATCAATGTTTTGAAAATATTGACTTCGCATCCCTGGCCGATCAACGGACGGAGTCGTTCGTATTATTCACGCGCGTTTTCTTGAGCCCTCACTTCGCTAGATGCGATAGGAGTGGGGAATTTGATGATTTTGCAGACATGCATATTATATCTTATATCTACATATTATATTATATCAAATCTGTGGTTCATTTTTGTATGCAAAATGGATTCTATTACACGGGAGCAAACATCTCCGGTTATCGGGTTTTGTAAATAAAGCTCATTGCAATAGTTAATTCTCAATTCAACTTACATCAGTAAAGGAGTAGGCAATTCGAGGCTCAAGAAATCGTGCACATACAAGCATCGGATGCTTGGGTTTCAAGGCCGAGCGTCAAGCTCGGAGTGTTGTGGCGAGCAAAACCCTGTCCTACTGGCCAGACATCTAGCGGATTTTTGTGAACTGTTGCGGATGACAGCGGAATCGCCTCGTGCAGGACTCTAATAGGTACAGTATTGTAATGATGCGAAAATACGGCAACTTTTTAACAAACAACAACAACAATAAAACGATAAATTCTTATTACCGGGCCCTAGGCACAAGAAAACTGGAAAATCTTATTTCTATATTCAGTAAATTACGTCTTCGAGCACGTTGTGTAGCCAGAATCTATGTTTTACGAGTCCTTGACACCAAAAAATCGATTGACGGCCAAACGTGTGTCTGTCCGTCTTTGGCCATTGATTGCGCCTAAACCATAAGCCGGGCACGTGTTAACACATTAACGAGAGGCCAAGGGCTCCCAAGGCAGTTAAAACGGCCCTGCCATAAGCAGGTTTTCTCCGATATTGATATTCCCCTATCGCTCTGAACGAGTTTCGAACGGCGAGTTTGAAATGATTTTTTTTTATTTTTGGAGGTACATGAAGCATCAACAATATTTTCGAATTTTTCATAAACATGACTTCAAAGTTTTTAATTAAAGTTTGTCCTCGGATAGCGTAAAGAACTCTTACAATATAGATTGAACCTCATTTTAGTTGAAATCTCTAATTTTTCGAAAATCGCGAAAGTTAAAAAAGTTGTCGATGTCTTCTTATACCTATGAAATTCAAGGTTGGTTGGTTGTTAGTGATTCCGGACGCGAAAAACTGCTAAGGTCATTAGTATCATAAGTGTAATGCATGTTTTTACCTTGGGAGGGGCGGTGATCTTCGCCAGTTGAATGGCGAGATCTGAAACCGACCTACCGTCACGCTAGCGGGGTTTTCCTCAACCAGGTATCTCCCACCAGCTGGGTACCACCCCAGCTAAGACAAGCTCCAAGCTTCCGACCGGTCTCCCGGCATGTGTGGTAGTGTAGTGCATGTTAGTGAGTGTGTGTGTGTGTGTGTGTGTGTGTGTAAGGGATAAGACAAGTAAGAGGAAGGAAAGATCGGGCGCGGTCCGTGGCCCGTTTGTTAGGGTACAGCTCCGGCATTCATCTGGTGTTGATCGGGAAAATCACGGAAAACTACCGATCAGAGCAGACAAGCTAGACCGAATTTTCCGCAAGAAGCGTCTATGCAATTTCCCTCTAGGGACACACAGTCAATAGAGTCGGTATGCAGTAGACTTCTCTTTTTAGTGGGCCATGGTGTAGACAGAAACCTCAGCTTTGCCCACTATCAATTTGTGACGTCAGTTCAGTGCTTAAGACGTCCTTAACGCTGACTGAACTCATTCAGAAAATAAACAATTGCTGAATTAATATGTTAGAACTAGTGTTGAACTACGTAGTCGAGTGGCAGTTGCTGTCAATCGTGTCCTCGTTGTTTGTGTGAAGTGTGAATCGGTTATTGTGCCGTTACCGTCCGGTTGCCAGAGAGGAAACCAGAGGATGTCATTTGTGTACGACAGGTCTCTGATCGTGCATTAAAACCACTGCAGTGTTTTATTTTTGCTAAGTTACTGAAAGAGGAGTGATGTAGGTATGAAAAGGAAGGGTCCACAGTCTTGAACGCCGGAAGTATGGCACGCTCTTAACCCTTACACAAGGACAACTATGGAACGTGGAAATAACAGCTACAGTCAGTTATGAGGAAGTATTATTTGTGGTACTACGCGAATGGTAACGTGACAAAAACTGAAATATCGAACGCGGCTAACATACATGAATGGACAGCAAATGATTCGAAGGAAATTCAAAAGATTGAGGAACGTAACAAATTATTACCCAACGAAGAGACACGTTGACTACCGTAACTTAAAGAACACTTGACATCGACCTTACTCTCTTCTTCAATCATTATACAAATTCATTAACACTGAAATATTTAAAGAGAATCTTTACATATTTTCTAGCAGGTATTTTTCACACTACCGCTGAGAATAATTAAATGTGTGATGCTTATGCTCATAAAGACATTTGCAATTTCACTGAATTTTGTTTATTTTATTTTTTTACACTTTGCTTTTATCGCGAAAGGCTATACCCATCTGAATCTCCCATCCGGCACCCAATAGTATAACTACTTTTTAAAACCTCATCATCTGCAGACGTAGCAGGTTTTCCTTCGCTTCTCACCGCCCCAGTTCCATCTGAGAAGGAAGCACTGGCGGTCTGACTCGGAGGGCTCTCAGCTCCTGTGGCAATAAAGTGCTCCTCTGTACTAGATGCTTTTCCTGGAAAAGAGAAATAGTTCACATTAATTGGGACGTTGTAAGGAGGAAGTGGTGAGTGGAAGTTGTCTTGTATTAAAATATACTTAAAAATGAGATAAAAATGTATTATTTGTTTTGTGAAAAAGTTAGCTACTTTACGGATCTCACCTCCAGAAAATTTAGTTGTGGTCTTATATTGAGAGAAACGTATAAAGAGAAAGAATTTTTTTAGCAACATTAATAGAATTTAAAAAAATATTATTCTCGTTTGACCTGAGATCTTTTAAGGAATTTCAGTTTTACATGCTACCTTTGTTTTGAATTTAGACATTTCTTTTGGTCAAAGTACTCTAGCTCATTTTATTAATTAGTTTTGTTTAAAATGTAATTAAATTTTAATTTTGGATTTTGGGAACAAACTGTCAATATTGGCTGTCGAGCAATATGAAGAGAAAGGGAAAGATTCTACAAGAAATTATTAGTTTTGGGTGGTTTAAGAATTCTTTGGGAAATCTTGATTTGATTCGACTTGCAGTTCGGCCTAGATGGAAATCATTAGCGGGATGAGATGAGAGGAGGGAAGCATAGACATTATTTGCCACTTTTTATGCTCTAGAACGGCATCATTATGGAGTTATCTATAAATTTGATAGTTAGGTATAAACCATGGAGCTTTAATTGAATTACTAAGGACTTTATTAGAAATTTTCAATTCGAAGTCAAGCGGTCAAAGGCCATTAATTCAAAGTGAAGTGCAACTTCTATTAAGCGAGTACAGACAGTTCCGAGAAAATGGCCAAAAAATGGCTCTCGGATATGTTTTGATGAAACTACGAAGGTACATATTGAGAGAGGTCAACATACCCTTCAAGATCTTGTGAAACTAAAATTAAAATAATGTCGACGAAATATCATGAGTAGGATGGGTAAATACAATGAAATAAAAATAAATGTGAGATATTGGGGACTCAAGAATACAGAATATGTGAATAGAATTCATTTGGACGTTATATTTTAAATAATAGAAAATCATTTTTAATTTAGAAATTATTTACATAAGACATTGTTATTAAGGCAAGTGAACATGGATGTGCAAAGAGAGAATATGATAAAATAGCATCGAAATGGTAAATAACAATGAGAAACAATGGAATCTATGGGAGGATGAACGGTTACAGATTAGATGTGAAGACCCAGACAGGGAAGGAAATGTGAGTTGATCGGAGCTGGATGTACCCCGCGGGCACGAAAAACTTGTAAGTCTTTTAAAAAGCTTTAAAAATGCAGAACGTGTTGTGGGAAACGCCAATATTATTAGGTCACAGGATGTTTGGACTAATGTCAACAAATTAAGTCGAGTAAAACGCGGACATTTTAAAATATGTTGTGATAAAAACATAAGTGTGGAATATCGTAAAAGAAATGGTGGAAGGACGACTCAAAAACATTGCTGTGAAAACATAAGTGGATGGTCGGGAATGGAATTTTCTTCGTCGCACCGCCAAGAGAGCAGTTCATCAATGAACAGGAAAGTGAAGCACTTCAGAATTTTCCGAAAGACTTTGAAAAACTATTCAATATTAAAGGACAAGAATGTCGATAGTAATTAAGCTGAACCAAACAAGTTTTGAAAATAAATTCTAATAAAATTACGAAGACAATCTTAGGTAGAGGCAAATAGTAAAATAAGATAAAATTTGTTAATATTGAACTACTGAAGCACGAAAGTTTAAAAATAAATGAATGATTGGAAGCCGACAATCCTTGTCGCTGTAATGCCGATTCATTAATGAAGTTAATATCATTTACAGAATAGCAACAATCAAACCAATTAACACCTATCATAAACAAAGGTATTCACCAGCCGTAGTCTCGGAGCGGTCAATTTTGAGGCCACAAGAACGATTTCTATACAGCCCTGAGAGTGTAAGTAAAGTTACGCCCAATCACTACTATAAAATCGAGTTAGCCAAATAAATAACTAGTAAATTAGGAGTAAAAATAGGTTGAGAGAAAGAGAGAGATAAAAAGAGAGAGAGATAAAAAGAGAGAGAGATAAAAAGAGAGAGAGATAAAAAGAGAGAGAGATAAAAAGAGAGATAAAAAGAGAGAAAAGGGGAGAGGGAGAGAGAGAGAGAGAGAGAGAGAGAGAGAGAGAGAGAGAGAGAGAGAGAGAGAGAGAGAGAGAGAGAGAATCGTCACAAGGTCACGTAGTCAGGTATTTTTCTAAGTTTTATTTTTTTGTGTATATTAAAAATTTTTAAGTTTAAGTTTATTAGTTCTGTTCAACGTTGAAACTCTGCTCTATAATACCTTATGGGGAGTATTAGTATTACTAGAGTATAAAATTCAGTTAAACAAATCAGAAAATATTTAAGAATGAAAGGCTTGTTTACAGTATTAAACGGGGGTTTTATTCCTAATATCTCACCACAAGCTACAGTGAATTGTGAAGTCAGGGCATGTACGCCGAATCCCCGACCCTTGTTGATCTTAAACGATTTTCGAGATCAGTGAGGTACGAGGGCACGTCCGATGTGTTTGTTACCTACGCCAGGATACGTACGGCCTAAGGATTGGTACAGACTAGTGAAGGAAGGATCGCGTGCGGTCCTTGGCCTCATTCTCATTCGCTTGGAAGCAAACCGGCTGAAGTCCCTGTCAGTGCAACAACTGTCGCTGCAGCGTCCCTGACCGGGAGGTCCTAAGCTTTGGATTTTCGACATTAGCGATATCGATTGCCTGGAAGAGAAGTGAACCGCTGCAGTGGGCTCTGCTCTGGTCGGATACGCAATTGCCGAAGCAATGTCCTGACAAAAGAATTACGCGCCCCGCGCGATATTCCCTTCTACATCATTCTCTTCCTTCGCACACATACCCTTAAACTGTACACCAATGCTACTTAAATTCAAGATTTCGGTTTAACTGCCGTCGGGTGGCGGCTGTAATGGCCATAATGGCACTCCCTTGTCACTAGAATAGTCTTCTTCCCCAACCTTGTCCTCTATATACAGTCCTGCACAGCATTTTGCACATTCCCTGACCTCGGGAGTTGCGCGCAAGTCACTGAAATGCAATGCGGGCAGTGAAGAAGAGTGGGGATGAGACACTTTAGGAATGGGGGCCATCAATAAAAATGCGCAAGTCGAGCCGTAGCGCGTAAATTGAAAGAGTAAAAGGCGATAACATGACAGACTGTTACATTCCATTTATTATATTGTAAATGTTTGCTGTCAATAGATGACAATGTGATAAATGTCTAAAACAAATTAGACGTACATATTTGATTTGGACATCAAGAACTATAGTTTCTTGTTGGGGTGATAATGTAATTCGCTTTGCTACGATGTAATAATATATTTAGTGTGGGGCTAAACATATATCTCGGGAACCTCACAAGTGGACTTGTAGGATTTCCCCTCTATTTCACGTTCCAGTAGGGAAGGAACAACGCAACGTACAAACTGTGTAATAGTCACGGGACCGATGACCAAAGTCATTTACGCATCCGGTAATACAAATATTCACTCTTTCACCGCTGGAAGCGGCCGGGGAAACTACGCAAATCACTGATCAGAGCAGTCAGCCTACGATTCCGCCAGGTGTCGCACAGTCTCCGATGTTAAACATCAGACAAATTTACCTTACCGGCGTGGAAACCGCGACCTACCAATCACTGGTACGCTTGACGTCTTATTCGTACCAACTGAAATTTCGAAAGCGACGCAATAATGCTAGGAATATGCAACACTTCTCGTTGGGACGAATAAATCAGTTAATTATCAGAAACAAAAGTTAATAATTTCGAATATTTGACGAACAAATATTTCCGTAAACAAAGTTAAATGCAACATTTAATTTTATAACCTAAAATAAAGATCTCGTTTTTTATGAATCTACTTACTACCAACGAAGATATCTCCGAACTGTCTCAGACGCGATTTGTGGCCCTTAGCCCAGAGTGATCGAGGCTTCGGCTTCACATGGGCTGTGAAGCAAGCTGCATGCGGATGCTGGTAATCCCAAAGAGCCTGCCACATCTTGAGGCCTTTCTCCAACCGAAGATTTTGAAAGTCTGACTCTTTCAGATGGTGGCATATTGGAGCAAAAAGATACACGAAAAGCTGAAAGAAAATAAGTTTCTTGCGTTAGTGAAATAGACAAAGATACAAGGGTATTGATTAGGTTCAAATATTTTAAGCGTAGTAAATTGTATTTAAAAAATCACGTAAGTAGTCTTGGTTATCTGATTTGTGTAACTATTGTTATTTACTGAATTATTTTGTGAAACTAAAATGCACACTTTAATTGCACTGTAAATCAATAAAAATGCTGCTGGTCTTATTGAGGCGAGTAAATTAAGTCTGCAGTTACCGTGACTGAAGGTATTGAAAATAGGTAGTAAAATGGCGACGAATGAAAAATTCCTTTTTCAAAATCCGCTTCGGCACATTCTTCCGCTGCGTCCAAAATTATCCAGTGAAGGGTGTAAAGAAGTTTCGTTTCTGAAGCACCGACGTTTTGCAAGTTTGTATCTTTCCTGAAAGCAATGACCAAGAGAGTGTGAAAGAAAAAAATGATGAGATTCTATTAAAAAAAAGAAAAAAGAAAAAAAATCCACACGAATTTTTAGAGTAAAAATTGTATATAGACACATACTTCCTCAATTTAACCCTTCAGAAACTGCGAATAATTTCAAGACGTTAATTGAACTCAAGAAAACGTGCGCAGATAATCTTTTTCCCCTACATCACATACAGTTTTTACTGCTTTTTGACTGAATAAATCTAAATCTAAATTATCGTGTAAAATGCCGGATATTCCCAACGAATTAAACATTTTAACCCTTATCAATAATGTATTGTCGTTTTTCAATTTCACAAGCGGCGGCATATGCTTTAGACAACGAAAGCTAGAACTCCGAAGTCATGAAAAGCACTAAAACTAAAGGAATAAACATAAAAGAAAATTTCCCGTCCTCTTGAAAGGGGGTTACGGCAAGGAGCCAGCACCTCATTCTCGAAAAAGTTTATAACCGCTCGAAATACCCATGGAAATGAACGTAGGACAATCTCACCACGACGACTATGGCAAAGAAAATAATATTTGAATTTGGAATGATGGAAATTTTTCAGTGTAAACGGTTTAAGCACCGGAGAAAATTAAATTTTTAGCACAATGGAGTGCATCATGGATATTTAATAATGTGATACAAAAGGGGGAAACGGAAATAAAACGATATTATTTGAACTCCGATTGTGGAATAAAAAATTAAACGACTTTTAAAAAATTAAATGACGTTACAAAAGTACATACGTTCACGCATTATTTCTCATTGTCACAATTTCCGAAAATTCAGAGAGTTCAACCAAATAAAGAGCTGCGACATTTTTATGTGTTCTTTGCTCTCTCAGTGGAAAAATTTTAAGAAGAAATTTGTAGCAGTTTTTTAAAAGAAAACAAAATATAAATTACATTAATTTCAAGCAGAAATTACACGAAAACTACCCGCTAAAAAATTGTACATAATTTTTTTGAAAGATCTAATTTTTTAAACAGACTATTTAAAAATATTGATTGTTAACATAGTACTTTTGCAATGTTATTTTAAAAGAACGGAAATAGAGAATGTTCGGCAAACATGGGACCAGCACCAGATCTTTGTTATTTCCCCCTAGGGCTTTTATCCAGCAAACTACCAGCTACCCTTTGCAACCTGATGGGAAGCACTAATACATTCAACCATACACACACTTGCGAGCCCCTCTGGCCTGCGATCAGCAGAACGGAAAGCCCTTCGCGACAATATGTACATGAGAAACAAGGAACAAACAACCATGCCCAAGGACCCGCACCCGTGACCCTTTGGACCGAAGCGCTGAGTCGGTAGCCACATCGCCCATCCAGACTGGCCCTTTGATACATACGAGGAAAATATTTACATACAAAGAAAAAATCAAACCCTTAGACAACCAACTTCTGATTGTATGCGGGTTTGAGTGTAGTTTTTTAATGAAAAAACAACAACATATTACCGAAACGTTACCGAAGCAAATGTATAATTAATGATATACTGAAATAAATCAGGAACATATCATTTATAAGTTTTCTTAAAAATTTGACGCATTATGTTACATACGACTATTCCACTCGTGAAATTAAAAAAACAAACAATAGTGTTTATTTACACATACAAAATGCCCCAATCAGGGCGGTGTATCTCAAAAAGGTTTTCGCTCTTTCTATCCGATTTTTCTTACAACTTCTCCCTACTGGCTAATCATAAACTGTGACTCATCTATCTTAGGATGCATCAATTGCTACGTCAATGTCCAATAAACCGCATATGTACTATAACTTAATCTCTTTGATTTTATCATAGCTTTCGGTTATTTTCAATATTTGGAGCATTTTGGAACTCTTTTGTACATAATTTAATTCGTAAAATAGTTGTTTTAAATACCACTCGAGCTTTGGAAATCATCAGATAAATCTCTTTCTCGCTTTGCGAGTTGGGAATTTATCGATAATTTCGAAAGACTTGTGATATTACCTATGATAAATATAGTTGTATTTTTCAGAATTTAATCAATTTATCTGGCTTATCTATATTCTATATATTTAATACATATGGCTAGATAGTATCGTAATATCCGCCAACCTGCAGCAGATGAATAATTATATATCCCGAACATAACTGATTCTTCTTCTGAAATAAATTTGATAAATTACATTAACCCTTAAATAGTCGCGTGGGAAGTAAGTATCCCCCAACAGTTTCTATCGACAGTCAAGTCAGGGGCGGATGCAGAAAGTAAGAGATATAAAAATAAAACGAATTTTAAAACCTTACCAGTTAACAGGAGATTATTATTATTATTATTATTATTATTATTATTATTATTATTATTATTATTATTTTCTTTTATTATTGTATTTATTAAAGATGTGAAATTGTAAAGAGACATACGTCGTCGCACGAAAAGCACAGCGTGGACGTTTACCAAAAGAAAGCAAACAATTGGACCTGGCGGGTGGGCAGGTTCGCGAATCCGAAAAATACGATTGTTTCTTATGGTTGCATACAGTTGAATCGGATTTGCGGAATAAACTGATTAGACGCGTTGATGTAAAAATATCCATGTAATACATTTGTTACTTACATTATAATCTATCACTCACTTATTCATTCTACGGTGTCTTAGTCATAACCAACAAATGACCTTGTTTTGGCAAATGAGAACCCCCTTGAGGATCGAAAGCCGTTCAAGAGAAGTAGAAAACAAACCGGCTTAATGTTTTATTTACGTTAGACGCTCGCTTCATTGCAGATGCAAGATCTACCTGTTGTGTAGGAGAGATGCCGCCGCGTGTGCGACGTAAGGAAAAGACGCCTGAATGAGGCGCCATCTTGGAATGGATCGGATGGCCTCAGTCATGGACGGTGACAGGCCAAATTGAATGTTCTGGACCAGCACCTTTTCAAACGACTGCGAACACGACACAACTTTAAGTTTAATAGATTCGTCCTACCTCCAACAAAGGACGTTTGGAAGTGATGACAGACACATACCTTGCAAGCTTCTTTCAGTTCCTGAGATGAAGTTCGGCAAAAAGGAAAACAAAATATTAATAAGCATCCTTTACAGTTGGTAAATGCAAAAACTGTTTTGTTTCAAACTCAATTATTTACAGCGCCAATGAAACCAAGTCGTAATTAAGAGAAGAAAAATATATTGATAGCATTCACAACAGCAGGCAACATCACCGAAAGGCGATGAACAAAAACCATGTTTACGAAATAATTACATCTACAAAGGAGCATATCATTTGAATCAATCATGTTTATTATCAAATCACACATTAAACTAATAATATATGTTAAAGCAACTGTAAGACATGCATTTAATAATTACGCTAACTTAAAATGATACAATCTAGGGGGTTGCGCATTCTTAAGAACTATTGTGCATATATAAATATATGAATCTTCAAGCTAGATATTCAATTTAAAATTCTTGTCGGGCATTTGTAAAGAAATATAAATATTTTAAAAAGTCACTTATGAAACAAAATTAAATTTTAATATGAAAACGAAGTTATATATTTCAATAGAGAGAATCGGAAATATATACTGTTTTAGCGCTGTTCAGAATGTTGTTGTTATTATTATTATTATTAATTATATTTTAATAGAACAATTATTTAACATTATTTTTGTTCGAATTTCACGTATACAATAATGATTGTGTTTATACGAGTAAAAATACTAGTGTGCTGAAGCAGGAACAGCTCAACTGAGACACAATTAAATATTTGAATAAAATAATTTTTACGGGAATAAAATGATGAAAAAATGTAAAAGACTGCTCTCTGCTCACATCACAGCAATGTGAGCCATACCTTTGAAAATGCGTTAGCAATTTAAATAATAATTTCACTAAGATTTCGAGATTGAAACGATTCATTTTAAGGTTCATGCGGAATCTAAAAAAAATGCTTGGTCACTGACATTTATTTTTGTATCAAATTATAATTGCAAGGAGTTTTAAAATCTTGTTGTTTTGGGAGTAAGAGTACGGTTATTATTGAGATTTGTTGACTTCGCTAGCCTACCTAACAAATTTCGACACTTAGGAAAAAAATTACTATCTGGAACGTTACTTAAATGTGGTATGTGTTTACCTTTTGTACTAATACCTTTCAGGTAATGGAGAACAAAATTGACTGCTGCAACTAGAATCATTACGTAGAGATAGTAATGGCACTACAATATCACATATTTTCTAGCATTATTTGTAACTTTTATGATTTTCGAAAATGTAAAATTCAACGTAAATAGGCCTTGCACCATTTTTACTTTCTCGCTACTGCTTTTGCAGCATAGAGAAAGTATTGTAAAGTTGGAAAAGAAGGCGAATTTTCGATAGAAAAACTCTTCTTGACGAGCCCTGGTAACATTTCATTGTAGATAAATACCTAGCCAACTAAGAGTACATCAACTCAAGTCACATAAAATAAAAGTATATTATATGCATTTATGTATGTACGTGTGTATAATACATGCATGCACGTATGTATGCAGGTATATTTGCATTATGTCTGCACGTATTGACTTATGTATGAATGTGTGTATGCATGCATATGTTTGTAAGCATGTATGTACGCATGAATGTGTACACTATATTAAATATTTAAAAGAAAGCATGGTATGTTTAAATAAATTCAGAAAAAGGCATACAAATTATTTCACTTATGACTCGATAGTGAGTCTACTCAGTTGATGTGTGTATTTTTCTTATTTTACATCGAGTGTGTGCATTTGTCATTGAGTATGCGTGCCATTCAACTTACATTCCACTTACATAAAAATGCCAGGTACCATGTACGATATCTATCTAAGATATGATAGTAATAAATAAACGGCCGAGCAATGCCTGCTTTATTCGCTTATTACATCGATAAACACAATCATGTTGTTACGTCTGCGAATAGTACATAATTTGTTTCACTAGTAGAAATATAAATATTAGTATAATGAAAAGTGTCGTATCTACGATTTCAAAACAAACAGTTCATATATTAAGAAGATTCTACTGGATTAAACACCATGGCAGGGATAAACGTTTTAATACAAATCAAAGCAAAAATATGTACTTACACACCTATCGGTGAAAACGCTGGTATGCATACCTTCATGCATAACAAACGCCAGCATGCAGAACTGTAACTCTTTCAAAACTAAGACTACAGGCAATGACTGCATAAGAGGGAGGATCATTTAGACTCAACAGCGTCATTTTGTGAGTCTTCTTCCTACGATCGAAACTGCAGCTAGCTAGAGAAGGCATTCTCTTGATGGAAGCATGACATAAAATATCTTAAATTGATAAGAGCAGGAGAATATCGGGGAGTGGCATTCGATCCTGTGGCCGAGATACACTTACATAATGGCCAGGCGCCTTCTGGCAGGGCTGCACACCAACGAACGGGAAAAAGAGCACATCACATCACATCACATCACACTCAGTCATAGAGACACAGAGGCACAGGCACTGTACATGGGTGGCACCGCTGCTGCTCTATATTATGCTTCCATGGAAAGCTAATAAGTAGGCTTATTCATTTAATTTCCATGTTTAGAAATTAGCAATGCACTGATTTTCTTTCTAATTTTGTTAATGCACGGAACTATTTTATTTCATTTTTTATTGAGAACTAATATAATATTTTTCTACATTTCTTTCATAGTTTGCATTAAATTTGCAATAGAAGAAGAAACGGTGAAACATTTGAGAAATATACGTATTCAATGTGAAATAGTAAATCCATTAATATACATCTTTAATTTTTAATGAACTAACAAAAATTATGTCTTTTACTCCACTAAAAGAGTTGCATAATTACATTTTTAATACCTTCTGGATCACTACACACTGGACATAACCGTTTCATGTTTTACTATATGAATAACTTTCTTTTCAATCTACAATTTTTAACTATGTTGCAAAGTAATGAGTGTATTGTGTACGCTGCATTATAATATCGTCTTATTAAACCTAAACCCATTATATTCCTTTTTCTTTGTAACACTACTTTTGGAAAACGTACTAAAAAGTATTCGAAGAATTTGAAAAGCATCGTGAAAGAATTTGAAAAGCGGAATTTGATGGCTTCCTCGCTGCGCCGCTCCATTGAGAGTGGCCAAAGAGAGCTGTCAACGATCTCCTTTAACGGAGAGCACTGGGCGTCGCGTGTATCGGGAACGAAGCGCTCCTGGATTTATTCGCGCTAAGCCCCGCGCCGCGCCGCCTCTCGCCGTGTCGAGCGCCGTGCCGGGCGTTCCGCGCCCCGCGCGCAGCTCCGCGCCTCATCGCGCCGCGCCCTGTTAGCAGCGCCCGCGATCACGCTAATTGGCAGGCGCCAGTGCCGGCGCGGGCGGAGCGGAGCGCAGGCGAGGCGCGGGCGGACGCGGGAGGGGCACGAGAATGGCGTGAGCGGGGCGCGGGCGGGGCGTGAGTGGGGCGCGGGCGCATGCGGGGGGCGCGAGCGGGGCGCGAGGGGCGCGAGCGGGGCGCGGGCGGGCGCGAGCGCGCGCGGGAGGGGCGCCGGAGGGGCGCCGGGTAGGGCGCGGGAGGGGCGGCGGAGGGGCGCGGGAGGGGCGCGGAGGGTACGAGAATGGCCGCGAGCGGGGCGCGGGCGGGCACAGAGGCGGCGCGGGCGTTGGGCGCGGGCAGGACGCGGAGGGGGCGCGGGCGGGGCGCGGGCGGGGCGGCGGGGCCGGGCGTCGGGCGCGGGCGGGGCGCGGGCAGGCGCGGGCGGGGCCGGGCCGGGGCGCGGGCGGGGTGGGCGGGGCGTGGCGGAACGGGATCGTGAACGGGGTGGCGGGCAAGCGACAGAGAGACGGGGAAAGGGCACCGGCGAACAGGCAAGCGAAACGACGAAGAAGAAAGGAACGAGTGACAGAAAATGAGTAAAGAGAGACGCATGGGTGAAACTGTTGGAGGGTTGGGGAAATACGAGGGTGAATGTGAGTATCAAGACAGTCGACTTGCGTGATGGAGCAAGTTAGTGTAGTAGACTTTATCACTGTAGTTAACAGAACAGTGGGGGTATGAAGATCGGCATTCGCTTGGGAGTTAGAAGTGGATCGTATTGCAGAGGTTGCATTAGTAATTCCAGGAGCCAAAGGTTACATTGAATTGGGGAAAATGATAATAGCAATTCCAGAAAGATGTGAATGCACAAGGAGCGAGGAAAAGCTGGCAGAGGCAACGGGCACTGGATTCGGCAGGATCGACGACAGGGGTTAATCTGCACAGGGCAAGTGTGGTGGCAGAAGCGGCAGGTGGGAGGGGCTGCTGAGGCGGTAGGGCGCTGGGGGTGCGGAGAGGCCGGGCAGCGATCGACAGACCGTCGGCGCTCCGGTTGCTAGGGCAACCAGCGACGCTCCGCCCCGCCCTGCCCGCCCTCGCAACCCGCCTCGTTTCCGGCCGCCAGGCTCTATTTTGAGCGGCCGACGCCGACGTCTGCGCCCCCGGCATTTCTGTGCCCCTGGGAGCGTGCTCCCCGCCCCCCCGGGCTCCGCCCCCCGCCCCGCCGCCCGCGCTCTCTTCCTTGCGCCCTCCACGCAACGAGCAGTCAAGACACGAACACGCACGGGGGCACTTCCGCTTTTTATTGCTGATGTGCCATTTCAACGTCGCTGGCCTTCGTCTGGTAGCAATTACTCTTTAGAAATCACGCCCCCTCCTCTAGAAAAACCCTTCTGCTCATGAAACAAGTTCTACAGTTAGAACCCGCTCATTTTTTGGTTTATTTAACCAATTTTATGTTCCATCGTTTGTAAACAGTTTTGTACTTCATTACATCGATTAGGGGTTTAATTTCCATCAAATTATGACAATGGGATTTAGGGGTTTTTATGGTGATTTAATATTAATTTTCTCTCTCTATTTATATATATATATATATATATATATATATATATATATATATATATACGTAAAATATGTAATTTTCAAACGTTAAATCAGCTAAAACTTTAGTAGTTGTATAATATTTAAGTGAAATTGATATAAAAATTAAATTCTTAAATTATATACTGATCACTATCCCTGAACTTTATTTAAAAATGAACATTTTTTAATGTCAGTCTTATGTACCAAATATGTTACAAAATGTACCAGTTTAAAGACTGTCATTTCTAGCGATATTGTTTATCAGTTAATAATTTCGATAATTATTTTACATCACAAAACCCTCTCAGATATTATGTAGAGAGCAGGAATATCATTAATTGATTAAACATTTTCAAATAAATGAAATAAGAATGTTGAAAATATTTATTCAAATTAAATCAAAACTATTTTAATAAAAAAGAAGATACACTTTTTTATGTGAATAAAAAACGGGTGACTGCATTACATATTAATGAACTAGTGAAAAAGTTGTTACATTTCATAGTACTACAATAAAATTTCAGTGGATTGTCATCGAATTTGTTTCATTTTTTGTCTGAATATTCGTTGTTGGATGCTGGCCACTCACATACGCAACCCGCAGTACTGTTCGGTATCGCAGGTCACAGACAGCAGTCACAGATCTTACACGAAATGAAATGCTAATTCTCATTATAAGAGGGTCACGAGAGGAAAGCTAGGCCAATTACGTACCTTATTATTAGTTAATTATTGTTTGAAGAATAAGTAGAAAACTACTATCATAATTATTCACCACTTATATAAACAAGAAAATATTCCACTTTTTGGTAAGTTGCTTTTCTTTCAGTCGTTAACCCTTTTGTTCCTAATCGATATTCATAGTCCAAACTTAGACAATTAACGGGAATGAACTCGCTGACAGGTCACGACCCACCCAGATTATTCATTCTCTTTAAGTACTTTTTTATGGAAGTCGTAAAAGTTTATTAGGGGGTGTTAAATAAATAAGAATGAATCGTTCAGCAACTAAGCGAGTTTGTAGGCTTTCAATCTGGTAAGACTACATATTATGTATTATGTATCGGTATTAAAAAAGGATTGTGTCTTGTAAAAATTAATAATATTTCTTCGAGAGTTAAATGATTTATTGCGTACTACAACGAACGACGGGTACTAGAGTATTTGCATATGTGAAAATCTATTCTGAGATGTATTTCGTGCATGATTTGCAGAGAATAGCAATTAAAATTTAGAGTATTTTTCTGACACAAAAAATAATTTCCACCGAGTGTATTATCTTAACTTAGATCACAAAGTGTTAATAGTGTCTGCTTTTAGTTTACTTAAATCTAATTCACAAATTATGAGTTTTCCTTCTCATAATAGGTACCATTAAATTTTTAACTAATTTTCTGGAAACCCCTGGCCTACTATGTTATCAAAAGATTGAAGACCTTTTGAAGCATTCTGACATACAAAAATCTTTATTTTATTAAAATATTAGTGTATGCTATTTGAGAGACGTAGACACGGCGATTGCATATCTGGTACAAATGAAATCATTAGAACATAGGCAAAGCATCAAGTAGTTGCGTATTTGTTACGATCAATTCATCAATGGGAAATAAGTAAATTCAAACATACATATACCAAGCGATGACAAACGCTTCATTCAGTGCATTGCGTTATTAACACATTCCATTCAATACAGTAATGAAAGACAATGATAATTATTTCTTGCACTAGCAGCAATAAACAAAAGAGAGCAGCGGTGTCTAAACTTGCTGATATATACACGCGTAGATGCAGCATTCGCACTCTTCGGGCGGCGTCGGGCGGCCTTCGGAGAGCTTCGGCTTTAAACCGGAGTTCGCCAAGGATTATTTTCTTGGCGGAGTATTTGGAGAAGTAAACGAAACCCCTTTACACCCTCGTATATCTAGCGCTTTGAGGATTCCCAGGCCGAAATGGGCGCGTCTTTCCTCATCTCCTACGATCCTCGGCAGGCCCGCCCGATCCGCCCGAAGAGCTTTGCGAAGACACAGGCTCGCGGCCAGGAAGTCGCCGTGCGTGGGGGCGGGTGTCGCGCCGGCACTCGCGTCATTGAATCGACTCACGTGGCGGCTCAGCAACGCAACTGTAGGTGGGGCATCGGGTCGTTCTTTCATTTTTTGCACACACCAAAAGAGTTGTATTTGAATCAAGCTTTTTAAATTTTTAGAATATACAAAAGTAATTAATTATTCATTATGCGCAAGTCATAATGACTAATATTTTTCAATTTAATTGAAAACTGCCTGTAATAATAGTAATTCAATAGCAGTAAGAAATAGAAATTCTGAGTATTAAGTATCGTTTTTTAGCCTTATCGAAAGAGAACTTTTTATTAAATAATTTAATCAAGAACAGATAATTAATATCCGCGGAATAAAGTAAAATTAAAAATAATCTCTGTTTATAGTGAATCGTATAATATCCTGCCTACATACACATTACAAAGTATTCATTGTCAACCACTACCCATTTTCTGAGTGAACCATGTCAAAGGCACAGTGTGCATTTTATCGTTCACCGAAGATTCGGGCCGCGTCGTCCGGAGAGTCGAGGCCTCGCTCGGCCAGCGACGCACTGACTTAAATCCCGTGCTGACACATGGAACCTATGGGGACGCTGGTGTTTCGGTCGGTCGCGACGAACGTCGAACACAGTAAATGAACGGGGCCCGTGTTGTCAAATCCCCGGGGCACAGAGGGCTCGATCGCTGAGGAAAGCGGCGTGTCATCTTCGGCGAAAGATAAAACGTACACCCGGTACGTTTGTGCTATTCAACCAGTACAAATACGTATTGTTTGTAACTTTAGTTGATGATGTGAAATACTGATTTTAATAACTAAAACCCTTATGTTGGGTAGTGTTGGGGAAGTCATCTTTTCTAATACCGTAGGTAATAGAGTTAAATAATCCCATATCTAAATTAAGCCTTTTTATCTTAAACATTTATGAAATTATGAAAAGTTAATTCTAAGACGAAATTATTATTATTTTTCTTTTAGGAAAGACTTCTGAATGTAAATTAACTGCAAGAGAATAAAATAAACGTTTTCCCAAAATCGAATATATTTATTAGAGATGAAACATGAGTATCCTTAAGTTAAGTTAAAATAGAAAAACATATTTCAGAATCTAAAACGAGTATATATGGGAAATATTCATAACTTAAATCTGTTTCTAATATTCATATTTTAAATACATAGGGTTTGAAATTCACGTTTATGTGTCTAATCAAGTTTGATAAGTTTTTCATTTTTATTATTGACATATTCGTATTAATTTAATATATTTTTTTAAAATTATTATTATTTTTGGCCGCTTATCAGGTCTGTTTTTTGATGGCTGTATTGACGTACCATAGGACTTAATGTCTACGATTTTGATTTGTTTGACGTGACATCCAGAGATGCTCGACTCTCTGACTCCATAGCGGCGGGTCTGTTAATTTTCATACTTCAAAAATTTGGCACTAGACGACTTGGTTGAAATAGGACGTCAAAACGGAGAAGTGATATTTAGGGAAAAATAAGAAATTTGGCCGTTTATTTCTGAGACGTCCACGTTTTCTTTAATAGATTTCTTCGCGGCATGCGTGAAGAATACTTCCTTGTGGAGTAAGTAGTTGGAAGGTTGATAATGAACAGTGAATGCAATAAAGATTTTTCCATCGTAAATTGTAATATAATATTACTTGATGTATATATTTGATAGTTTAAGGTTTATTAGATATTAAAACGTTTATTCGGCTTTGCAAATTGTATTCGTTTCATCTCTCGGTGTTCTCCATTATCCTACCTCCAGATGATGCCAGGTTCGAACAGTGAAATCAGCGTGTTTATGGAGCTGAGCGGCTTTTGAGCAGTGTGAATAGCGATTCAATGATGCACTTCCGAATCCCGTTGCCGACGCGAGCAGGCGCAGCCGCAGACCGCTGGTCCGGGCACGCGACGCCCCAGCGACGTCGCCTGGGGGGGAGGGGGATGGGGCGCCGCGCGAGAGGGGTGGAGCGGAGGTAGGGAGGGGACGGAGCGAGGGCCGGGCCCGGGCAGAGCACTCGGGCCAATGAGCTGCCGAGGTTTCGAAGCGGGGCCGGCAGTCGTCTGTCGTTATTTCACGGCTTCATGTCTCCGTCAGGACGCACGGGCACAACAAAGAAAACAACTCTAGACTCCAATTAAACAAACCCATGTTATAAATGTCAAAATAGTACTGACAATATGCTGAGAAACTTTATGAAATGATCCATAATGATTTACTGATGTTTTTAGTACTTGTTCTGTTTGCTTTGTATTGCAATGATCACATTATTGTCTGTGTTACAAGTCAAAGCAAATGCACAGATGGCTGCGAATGATTCTTTTCAAAATTATAAAATCATAGTATTGCTGATTTTACTCTTAACGATAACTGCTTTGGAAGACATTTCCTTCGCAAATAATGAAGATAAGATCAGAAATGAAAATCGTGAATATACATCCTCGATTACGTTCATTTTATCATCCAGGATCGTTAATGTTTTTTGTCTTGCATACATTTTATAAAAGACCTATTTTTGAGGGAGAACGACGGTTTTTTAAACTCAATGTCCTAGCAGTGTAAACAAATCGTTGGTAAAGCAACTATTTTTTATTTTCAATGATATATGAAAAACTCCCCAAAATAGTTAAATCATATTATTGGATGTCATTGTTTTTGGACTCAGTATTTATTATTAACTACTCTTGTTTATAATTCTCTTGTAACGTAGGAATTCAAAACGAATTTTCGAGACTACATATTTTCTGAGTTCTGGTATTACAATCTTGCCGAAAGAAAATACCATTATTTGGATTTCGTGTCAAGTCTACATCGAAAATCTTATGAATTTCTAAAAGAAAAACAAACAACTGGCTTTCGTCCTTCCTTTTCTTGGCCTTCTTCCAAAAGACAGTGTTTAACCAGCCGTAAAATAACAACACTGGGGGGCACAAGGAGGAATGAGGGGCAAGCACTGTACGGATGGCAACTGACTGAAGGAACATTCGCGGTTACGAGGTCAGACAATGGAAATAACTGCAAGATTGAGTGTAAAAGAAGCAGAAAATGGGAATTCCACAAGAGACAAGTATTTGATCTGGAAACCTAAATGGCATTGTATATTAACACAGAAAACACATAGGAAGCAAGGAACTTTACAAAGCAGAGAACACAATAGGATGGTATTTTTGGGAAAATCAATGAAAATGGAAAGAAAGCGACGAGGGCAAAACGAAGAACACACTGAGACATCCACATTAACAAAAATAATAAAATATATACAAATCAAAACGTAGAAATCGACTAAGAAAATGGAGGGCAAGATTTCCATTGTTATTTTATAAGTACTTTGTCCACGATGGATAAGTGGATAAGTGAATAACATTTTCTTAAAAATTTGATAATTGCATGAACAAATGGCCACAATCGCATAGGTAAAATCCCCTTACCAATTGTGAACTAGTATTATGGCTCTAAACAGTTTTAGAAAAATAAATCATCTCCATTGAATGTTTCCTTCCCAATTGAATGATTGACAGAAGTGACAAATATTTCAATTTAATATCTCTCTTCCACTCCAATATTTTCTTTACATGTAAGCAATATGCCATATACTACCTTTGAAATTGAAGGCAGGCAAGGCTATAAGATCTATTCAATTGAGACATTTTCTGTGTTTCATAAATCATTTCATAAAACTACTGCCATAAAATCATGTATGTGCGACGAATATAATATATTAAATGGTATACGGTTAAATGTTTTGAAATAAGTATAAATATTGCTTATTTGAATTAATTAAATGAATGTTCAGTGAAGCCTAGATAAGTAAAGTGCTCTTTGGAATGAGAGCAATACAGAATGATAAAATACAGAGGAAATACTCATACTATTAGTTTCATATCTTGAAATAATATCTAGCAAGCGCTCGCGGTTCAACAGATATTTTGAAAAAATAAGATTCGAAAGTATCCTATTCAACCATAATGTGTGAGTGTTGTTTATTACAAAAGGAGATATAGTACACATTATTTTATTGTCATTATAATTTGACACTGATTTGTTCATAATTTAGTTCATTAAAAAAGGAGATACAGTACTAGTTATTTTATTGCCATTATAGTTTAGCACTGATTTGTTCGTAATAAACACGGTTAAAGAATACACAAAATAGAAAAGTGTATTTAAAAACGAGTTTGGATTTTATAAAGTTTGGATAATTATGAAGATAGCTTTTAAAGATTATTCCACTCATGAAATAAAGACCAAAAATACATAAGATATTGCCAAATCAGAGCCATGATTGACAGAACAATTATCAGAGAACATTTATTTTTATCGATTTTTCTTATCATCTCCCCCTCAGTACCCAATTATTAGCTGCGATTCATACCTCTTAGGAGGCGGACGATCTGTGTGTTTATTTATATCTAAGCGCGCTTTTCTATTGTCTTATTCAGCGGACGAAATGACGAAAATATTTGGTGATGCATCCAAACAAGAAATACAAGATTCACGTTGGTGTTCAAGAGAAAGAACATATAAAAATAACTAGGCATATGAATCCTTTTCTCTCAAACCGCATGTGCAAATACATCAGGAGCATTATACATTCGTTAAAAACAAGTTAAGAGAGACACCATCTGCTAGTGCACATAATTCATTAACAAAATCATTAAATACTGAAAATAGAAATGTTCCGACAACATTCAAATTTGATGGTTGTGTATTCAATAAGTAATTCATGAAATAAAACCATAAATTTCGTGTTTTCGTTACGTGTATTTTCTATTCATATTTGTACTGTATTAATCCTTGCTGATAGAGTTTAACCTTCTTGGTTTTAACGTACAGACGGCCTTGCATAAGTAAACATTAAAATACTAATGTGATAGAAAATAATATAGGCTGCATGATGTCTCGAAAAGTACACATCGTGAAAATAAAACGTTTCTGAAAACGACGGCACGTCATAATACTTCTTCAATGTCTGACAACACAAGAGCTTTCTCATCATCTTTCTACTGTGAAACTACACTCTCTTCAAGTATGAAAGAAACAGTGGGTGCTAGTTTAATTTTCCATGACAGGTGTTTATGAGAACACAGAAAAGCTTTATTGCTAACGAAATTGAAATTAATGAGATGGCTTGCTGAAACAACTCATTTAAGACTTTATTTTACAGGAATGGAGAGATCTGCTCCAGGAGGTAAGAGGACTGAGGATCTTTTGATTTTGCAAATTGAGAATTCCTACAGTAAGAATTAATTATTCTGCTAATCAAATGACCATGGCTGTCGTTAATTAATCTTGGAATATTAATGATATTTAATTTTACTAATCGACGCAAAGACATAAAAAAATGTTTAAAAATAATTTAAAAAAATGTGTATTGTAGAAAGTCTGAAAATTTCCATTTGCGGGTGAGAAAGGGTAGAAGCGTTTCGGTAGTTATTTCGTGAATTAGAGAGGACAATATGTGTATTAATGGTGTATTGGTACTGGATCCTAGTTTTTGAAGGACTTGTTGAGGTATTATTCGGGCAACTTTTCTTGAACGATGGATTGACGATTTCAGGTGGAGTGAGGGTATTAGTTCCAAAGTCGGCCACTAGAGTATTTTAAGTAATGCCAACGTGTGTGAAATGAAAGTCAAAACTGCATCTTGTGCTTAACTTTTTCGGGAGTTTTAGGTGACTCCCTTGAAGGACCTGGACCTAACTCTAGTCATTTCTTTCGATATTGACAATAAATCTGAACAGGGGTTCTGCACTATGAAAGAAACTGGCTTTGACTAGCTTCTGTTTTGCGCCAACGAAGTTTTAATGCTTGGAAGGTTGTCATCAGTGCCTGCTGCGAGCTTTTGCCTTCAACTGTTTATTGCACAAGGGAGGGGGATCAAGGTCATCGTTCAAGAAAAGTTGCGCGAGTAATATTTAGGGACTAACGCACATGGTGGCGGCGCGGCCACTCTTCCACGTACCATGCACGACGCCTCGTGTGCTCTCCCCAGCTTGGGCCGGATAAAGGGGCTGAGGAAACAAAAGAGGACATCTATGAAAGTAATTCGTAATTCTATAAAACTAAATCAATAATGCTTATTCTATAAAAGTACATGAATGATGCAATATTTGATGAAAAAAATTGTTTCTACAGGCAGTTGTAACAAATTTGACAATCCCAAAAGAACACGTCTGATATTGTCACAATACCACAGAAATATCTATTTTTACAGAAATTATAAACATTCACACAGAAAATCAAATGAGAAATGTTCATCTTAAATAATATTATATTACATATAGTGTGCATTATAAACCTTTAAGAAAATGAGCAAACTTACTTTTTTGTTGAATCAGTTAATATATTCTTTCGCGCTTGCAGAAAGCAATACTTGTAAAATTTCACTTTCAGAAAGGAAACACGTTTTCCGATCGATTGAAACAGTCGGTTTTGTTGGTGATGCTCCATTGCAAAAGCAGAACGTTCTATTTCACTTTGTTAGCAACTGTAACTTGCGGAAAACTTTAAATATTGATGAACGAATCTCACGTTTGTGTAAGATGCTGCAACGAAATGATTGTTGCTTTAAATTAAAAATGGTTACAATAATTACTTTTTATTTTTAGTGCAATATGCAAATGTATTATTTTAAGCATCGTCTTTACATACACATTGTAGATATCCGAGGAATGTGGCTTCTACGAAACTGTCATTTAGGAGGAGAAACGGTTTTATAATGTGCAGAGCAGTTTACTTCATTTAATAGTTTATTTCACTAAGAAGTTTACTCTATATGTCATTGTCTTTAACTTTATCACATTTTTAGGAGAAATAGATATTCCTTAAACACTATTCATTACTTGACAAAAATTACATTTAATTCTTACTGATACGTTATTGCGTGTTATAACCTTCCATACAAAACTCGATTTACTCTGCACTCCTTACTTGGATCAAGAGGAACCTTATTACGAGGGAAATATGAAAAGAGTTGAATGATGCTACATGTTCTCTTATAGAGAGAATTATGGGAAAAATATAAAAACAACAAACCGAGTCAAGTTAACACTTAGTTAATTAGTAAATAAGTAAACCTGAATCATTAAAATTAGGTAAAAAGTAAAATCTTGTACGTACCACGGGTGTTAAGTAGTTCTAATGATATCGGGCGACAAAAATTCCTCGGGCCAAAAGTTCTCGGGCATTTTGTCGCCGCTCGATCATTATAACACTTATATCGCCCCTGGTGCATAAATAACTATTTCGTTCCGGTCTGGTGGCGGAGATCGCTAAGGTGGAAGTGCCGTAGCGATCTCGGACCAAAGGATCGCGGGTTCGAGACCCTCCTCGGGCATGGTTGCCTTTGTGTTTGTTTTTTCACCCCCTGTCATCATCATATCGTGTCATCCTCACAGTTACCATACCATTACTAGCAATAGTGGTCGCTAATGACCTAGACGTAGATGCGACCTTAAATTTAAAAAAAAAAACTATTTTGTGATGTATTTTTTTGTGCCCAGACAATCTGATTTATATAACTAAGAGCGAGATGCCTTGATTCATTTGGTTTATTACGCCTACTAAAATGTTAATAAGATACGAAATGTTTTGATGTATTTTGTATGTCTAATGTAATTTGTATGTGGATCAATCAAAAACGCAGAATTTCCTCCCAGAGAAAGTATGTGGGACATGAACCTACAAGAAAGCAGTTTGAATTTCACGCATATTTTAGGGTATTTTGAGTTCACGGATTTTGACCCGAAATGCCTCCAGTACAAACCACTCAGTAAAGATGTCGTGTGTTACAGTTATGTACATCTGATAGACAGAGAGATTCTTTTGTTA